GAATCCTGGATGAAGTCCCTTTTCCCCTTTCTGCCAAGCACATTACAATTAAGAGGAAAGAAAAAAGAGCCTGAGTATCCTCTGCATAATTGTTGAAAGAGCATACTTCAAAGGCTTAAAAAAAGTGGGGGGGAGCTGAAGTTGTATACTCACTGACGAAGGGATATAATTACAGTGAAAAGAGAAAGGGAAAAAAAGAAAGAAAAACCTGCCAGAGCTCAGAGCACGATCAAGGGTTTGCTCTTCTTCATCGTCTCACACACAGCCTCCCCAGCCTATTTATCTTCTGCTTTTTGTAAGCAGAGGCCTCTGTTTACTGACGCACAGCCCCATTAGGAACAAAGGTGCATTCTGTTTGATGTGAACCAAATGTAGTCTCTAAAAGTGAAGTCTGTGCCAGGTTGTTCTCTGATAACAATTCTTATTTCTTAACCCTTTGATACTTCGGCTGTGTTTATCTTTCTCCTTCCCCTCTCCACTTCCATTTTGTGGTGAGAGTCCAAGCAAAATAACATTGGAGAATGGTTTTTATAACTCTTTTGCCTCCTTCACATACAATAAAAAACCCTCACTCTGGCACTTCCTGGATGAACGATTAAATATAGTTCTTCTGTGGTTTGTGCCATACCTGATGAGGATTAACTTTAGGAGTGTGATCAAGAATAGAGTCAAACCAAAATAAAAATTTAGGGAATAATTCTGCTCTTCATGGGTGGTGTAATCTGGGTGAAGATATTCAGCATAATGGAGTAACTATTCCTTTGTGAGTATTAGGAATATTCAAGAACTTGAGTCCATCTGAATGTCTATCCTATGAATCATAAGCATATCTTGCAAATATACAGGAGAATCAGAGCAAATGTATGGATTAAAATCCATTTTTCTGGACTTTTTAATTTAATATACAACTAAAAAAAGTGTGAGACACTTTATTAGACAAGAGTTCAGACAAATTTACAAATGTTTCAGGAAAACTAAAGATATATCCAGAAAAAATATTTGAATATTTTTTAAAATATATATATATAAGGAAAGTGAATATATACAGAGTTTTGGCAGAATTTTGTAGTTTACAAAACTGAGAAACTAAATAAAACTATACTTGCCAAATTGATTCTTAATCTTCTAGCCCAACAATTCTGACATACTCAGATACCTCTTCTTTCTTTTTGTGATCTCCTTTTGTTTGTATAATAAGGAAAAGCAGAAAGAAGTGTGGATTCTCATTTTAATATTATCTCTATTTTATACTAATATTGTATTTATTCGGGAGGTGTGGAGAGAGGACAGTGAACTAAGGTGTATTTTATCTCTGAAGAATTATCTGCTTGCACTTTATAATCTGAAAATATTTTCCCCCAAAATTTGAAAATTTGCCCCAAATGATGGTTTTTCTCTGTGCCATTTGCATAGGTACAAGGTTGATGCTTGCATTCATCTTTGATTTCTCCAAAAATTATTAATTGTTAGGATGGAGACTCCATTCCACTTCCCTGACCATAAATAGCAGATTGGACATGATTTGGCTTCACACTTCCCACCCTACCTCTACCCCTTCACAGTTTATGGAGAGGTTAGAATAAAAATAACTAGCCTCTTGCTAGCATTTAAGCATCCCAACTGTATTTTAAGAGGGAAATCTTTCCAACTTGATAAATTTAAGATGTATGGACTCCAATTTACAGTATGTTATATAAGTTTGCTTTTTGTTTTTGTTATACTTTTGTTCTGATTTGGAGTGTTGTGTGAATTTGACATCGTTCTGAGGCTGTGTTGGAGTATGTACAAACCTTTTTAATTAATGAATCCTATTGCCTCTTTTCAGTGATTTATTTGAGAAGCATTGGTTATCAAATTTCCTTTGATCCTCATTTTATATTACATCAGCATCATGTTTAAAAAGTTAAAGATCATAATATTTAAGTAAAAATTAAATATCATACATATGTACAGCTTTAGGTATGCATAGACATATAAAGAAATGTAATTATTTTTGCCAAAGGCACAAAATTAAAACATACACATTAAAACACATTACTATTTTTATTCTTTTCCCGCTTTCTTTTGTTCTTTTTCATTCCCTGTTTATATAATGTATATAATTTCTCTAAAACATAGAATATATATATATATATCCCACATTGCTCAAATCAGTAACAGTAAGGCAATTAAATATGTTGGTAACATCAATCAGCATCAGATAGAAGAAATTGCCACATTGCCTACAGCTGACAAAAGGCACAAAGGGCTACAGGCAGAAACTTAGATAAAAAGTTTCTTCAAGCAAAAAACCTAATCTCGAGATGTAATGCTATCCAAAACAGGTTAATCATTACTCAACTTTACTAGTAGACCAGGTCTATCTTATCCATATTGAGCTTTAATTTATTAATCCTCTTTCAACCCATTCCAAACTCCAACACAACTTCAGGAACCTACAGCTTCAATTATCTAGATTATTTTTTTTTAAAAAGTCACACTTATTTGAAATCAGAATACTAATGGCATTATAATCTGCATAAAACTTTTGCCAGTAGTCTGATGCAGATGTTGAAACCTTGTGAAAAGCCATGTCATAACTGCCATTGTACTGATCAGAGTTGCCAGTTTCATCTTCTAGAAGAAACATGATTTCTAGGAGTATAAAAAGCAACTAAGAACACTAACTATTCCCATCCTAGACCATGAAAATATTATGACAGTAATAAAAAAGGGGGGAAAAGCAGAAGATTTCTGAATGATCAGTCATGACAACCTGATCTTGAATTCCTTGCTTTGGAAAAAAAAAAGACAAAACCTTGCCAAGAAACTGGAGGTCCTGGTGGCTTTTAATACTGACTGAAGCATTGAAACTTTGTTCAAAACAAAGCATTCAGGTGTGAATGCTATGGTGGCTAGGATGAGAAAGCAGCATGTTAGGTAATGGTTATAAGTGTCAGCTGAAACGACTAACTTCTTGTTGAAAGGAAGATTATTTTGAATTACCTATTTAGTTTAAACTTAACTGTGTTCTATTAATTTAAAAAATAGCAGTTGTAATTCAGTAGCATGGTTGATGTCAAATATCTTTTTTTTTCAAAGGTTTTATTTCTTTTAAAACACAAATATTTCATCATTCGTCAATCAGATGTCAAATATCTTAAAGTGCTTGGTTCTCAGTATATCTTATATTTTTTATTATTCCTTTATGAATTTCAATGGTTGTGTCAAAATTTTTGAGAAACTGGAAAGTATAATATTATGTAATCTATAGGTAAGAGACGCGGTGGCTCAGTGGCTAAGACTCTGAGCTTATCGATCAGAAAGGTTGGCAGTTTAGCGGTTCGAATCACTAGCGCCGTGTAATGGAGTGAGCTCCCATTACTTGTCCCAACTTCTGCCAACCTAGCAGTTTGAAAGCATGTAAATATGCAATCCTTTCCCCAGCAGCACATTCCTGGAGTCCTGTTGCACAACAGTTAGAGATTTAACAGTTACAGTCTTTTCACACTTCGACACACAGTGCTGCACTGGAGACACAAAGGCCAGATTCAAAAATAAAAAGATTCAAGCTCTTTATTGGAGTTCCAACAATCAAATTAACCCCATAATTTCCAATATTTTCATTTTGATATAAGAATATTACTCATGTGATATATTGTGGTAAGATAATATAGGAATATTATGATATATAATATTCATTTATTTTATTATATTGTTGGAAAAAATGTCCATCTGTGTTCAATTCCAAGTGGAGAGAAAGACACTGGAAATATGGAGACTGATTGGAAGGATGGTTTAATGGTGAACAGGAACACATGGGTTTGATGTCTTGGATTGCTGCACATGGAGTAGAGAGAGATATATATTTATATTTTCTCTTGGGCTTTGAACTGGAGCTTCCTGTTCCCGTAGCAAGGGCAAGTATCCTATTGCCTGTCATACTCCCAGGGGATGGGGCTCTTAGCTAACTTTGTAGGCTGTCTGTGTCCCAGGCTTCGTTGAATCTTGCTGAGTGACACAATGAAGGGTAATTTCCTATTGTGGCTGATTGGCTTTGTCCTGAAGGATAATCCCATATTCCTGGAGCTGAGAACTTTTGTTTTGTAGATAGACTGGCCCAGTCTTTTGTCTTCTGGATAAGGTGGCACCAAAATATCTGCTGGGGGCGGGGAGCAGTGGTTCTTTGTTTCTGTTTCCTTTAAGATTTTTATTTCTCTTTTAGGGGAAATATTCTGCCTTTTTAATATTTCCTAGAATATTTCATTCTTCTAACTTCTAAATATGTTACTATAATTTGTAATATATCACTCTAATAGTTTCTCAAGCCTGATGTTTTCTACAATAGCTGCTTTTCCATAAAGCTCCCATTGGTGGCAACCTGGTGGGATACTCAGCACATACAGGAACCTCCTTATTGAACAGAAGTTTACTGCTTGACTGACTTCAGATTAAATGACTCCTTTTCTGATGAAACCTTTTTGCTTTGTTTTCTGGTCACAGATTCCAGATTGATAATTCTTAGTATTTAGAAAGGCACCAAATTCCTGTAACTGCAACAATTTTGCTGTTATGAAGTAAGGTCCAGTTGTTCTTAAGTTCCTATTTTTTTATTTTGCAAAACAAGGAAGTCTGTGTTTTAGGGGAGAGATAATTATAAACCTTGGGGAAAAAAGCCATGTGTGCACAAACCTTTCCCCCACCCGAAGCACACACTCTATCTCAATCTGTGCTCACGCAGATGATGAATTCAGGTGTACAGGCAGCTAAACGCCTCCTTTATTTTGCCTGCCTTCCCTCAGCAGTGGCTCTCTTGGCGAGGGAAATTCCTCTGCTTCAGCATTAAAAGCCAGCCTTAAGAGGGCTGGGCAGAGATGAAAAGTTCCCCAAGGCAGTAAACTCCACCTCCTCTTCTTTTTCAGACTTGTTTTTTTCTTTTTATATTTAAATGTCTTTAACTGCAGCTCCTGCTGTGGCTGACTTTGTGGTCGGTGGGAGGTCTCTGTTCTGTCAGGATGGGGCATTTCAGCATTTAGACATCAGCCAGCTGGGGATCACTCACATCTTAAGCTTTCTCCCTTCATCATGGAGGACTTATATTAACCTAGTAGCAGTGGCTAGCTTGGCCAAAATTTATTGGTCTGAGTAAGACTGGTGGGTGGACTATTTCAGGAGGACTGGCAAAGAGAGTAACCCCTCCTGTGGTGTCTTAGATCTCAGGCCATGTGGCATCCCCAAGTGGTGCTTGCAACATTTCCAAGCCAGAGAGAGGTTTAGGATGAGGAGGCTAAATGATGACCAGGAAGGTACTTCTGCATGGGACTGCTGACCAAGTTCCCTAATGTCTGCTTTGCTACTAGTTTGGACTGTGCTGCTGCACTTCCGGATTGAGCCATCCTTGGCCAGAGGAGGAAAGTCATGGGAGCATTGCACAGGTAAGAGCTGGAACATCAATAGATATCCTCCTCTGCAAAAGAAGTGGAAGGAATGGCCACAGTCCGTTATTCTCTAAAAATAGTTGCTTTCTAAACCTAAATACAAGGTCAGGTTGTAACTCTCCCTACATACAAATGTAGCAATTCCATATATGTCTAATCTATGAGCTTTGATCTCTTTATCTAGGAAAATAGGATGATATTATAGGTATGTCTCCTGGTTTGGTGACTGGTTGATTAAAGGCAGATCGAAGTGAAGCTATTTGCCTTGCTGTGTTGAGTTTAGTTGAGACAGCAGAGAAATCACATGCACAATTCATGCATAATTCATACATCATTGCAGTCCGGAACTCTTCAAGGTCAGATTTTATTTGAGGTGAACAAGATAAAGAGATTCTTATTGAGTAGGAGGAAATGCTAACATTGGATTGGCTGAGTTGGATGTTAGCTGACCTTTGGTTGTGTTATCTAACTATTGAGAGTTCTTTTGATAAATCTTCTGATATTTCATTGTCCCCACAGCTATTCATCTTAATGAGCAATTTCAGTTCAAGGAAAGCATAGTGCAGTCCAATGCACAGTGTTAAATATTGACTCAGAAACAACCCTTACGGTATTCAATAAGACTTTATCCTTGTTACTGTGTTTAGGTTTATAATTTTAATAAACATACAGAAATGCCATTGGTGGAAACTTCTTAGTATTTTTATAGAAAAAAATTGCTCTCCCTTTCCATTTTTTGCCTAAGCATCTTTATTTTCAAATCTATGTTACTGGAAGCTTGTGTCTATTCATACATATAGTTATTGACGTTTATCCTGGTTTTAGCAATAATTATATTTATCCTGGTTTTAGCCATAACAGCAATACTGCACTGGCATTTACTTGAAAGCTTTCCCTTGCTTGTAGAATCTCATCCTATAGAAGCATGTATTATATCAATTATTATACAATTAATAGCATTTGCAAAGAACATCCTCACCTCTAATGGAAATGTTTGTTAAAACATGTTGGGCAATTTTATTGCATTAATAATTTTATACTTGTCATTTGTTTTGGAGGTTCTCATCCAGCTGGTGTTTTAATTTTCTTCCTTCTCCTTTTAAAATAATTTCTTCTGAGATATTGCTTGTAATCCAGATATTATATCTACTTTTTTGGAGGCATTGTTAGTTTACATGTTACAAAATTCCTGCACAGAAGGTACATCGGATTAGATATTAATGCATAGCACATAACTATTTTATTATAAATGAGGAATATGAACATTTTACTTTCTGAATAGATGGGGAAGGACAGATCTACAATTTTAAGCACATAGCTAAAACCTAAAGAGATTTTAAAAATATGATTACACATTGATATCTGGAGGAGAAATTTACATTAATTTCTAAAATATAAAACATCTATAGAGCAATTTTATTACATATAAAGTAATCTTAATTTAGAAGCTCAGTTTTCTTTGTTTCTGCTATTTTGGAATTACAGCTATTTTTCTTTTTGCAGATGTGAACAAGAACACAGAATTCATGGTCTAGGATTTGAATTCAACCCTAATTACATAAATACATTCCACTAAAAACTTGAATACTAACTCCTTTTCAAGCATCTGGTGGCACCTTGCCCAATTGACAAATGTTATTAAAAGGCATAAGATTTGGTAAGGTATAGCTCAAAAAACTATATCTTTTAATTAAAAAAAAGTTAGTTGGAAAAGGTGCTACAAGGCTGTTGATTTTTTTGCTACCAAAACATGGTTCTCCTGTGTAAATTCACTTCTACAGCCCATCCTGCATTTCTCTTGAATTTTACCCAACTTCTCACACTGGTCTGTAAACAATTTTGAACAATTGCTTTTGATGTCTTTACAATAAAAAAATAAAATCCTCAGAATCAGTTTGGATAACTGTTATCCAAATTCATATCACAGAAATAAAAATAGATTCAGTTGCTCTTGAAATTCAATTGAATTATGCAAAGAATTTTTCTTGTCTTTGAAACTAAAAATGCAACAAAATTGCAGTAATGAATAACAAGTGATTTTTTTACTCTATCATTTTGTACAAATGTCATTTTGCTTCTCTAAATCTTATGATTCATGTAACACAATCCCATGTTCAGTCAGTTCTTACCTTACACTGACCCAAGATAAAGGAAAAAAAAACAGTGTAAAAAGCCAAATTATATTATTCAGTAAACTTTACATTATTCCTATAATAAAGCCTTTAATAAGCAAGAATTCTCTACACCTGAAGCTCTTACTCTAAGATATATAGACAAGTGGTATTGTATTTCATTGTTACATCAAAACATGATTTATACTTTTATATTGTAATGTTGGAGCAATCTTTAGAGATACACATCCTTAGCTTGATTTCATCCCTTTGCTAGATCTTCTCCGAAATGTTTCAAATAATTGTCTGCTTATCACTCCTGGATGTTTATTCCTTGTCATAGCCATAGTCATAGTCACTATTAACTATGTCATGGTGACAGTTAAAATATGTAGTTATTTAAAATGCATCCAGGGAAAAGATGAAAGAAAGAATCTCCATATCTTAAAGATGATCTTTTAAGCCAGAAATCTTTTCTCTAATACAAACATAAATATTAGTGTGTAACACTAATGCACAATAGTACATCAGTATACTAATTTCATTTTTTACCTCTTCCTATGAATTGATTTTTTGTGGTGGCAATTTCAGACTTCTTTAGGGTTGTAATTTAGACTTGAGTGTAACCTGAGTGATCATCAGTATTTTCTCTCTTACCAATCAATCTGATGCTGTATTTCATAAACTGGAAGTTTATGAAATAACCATGAAACATTTTATCATTTGTGCTATTCCCCTTTTTAAGATGATGAATAAATTATCAGGTGTATTTAGATCTGCATCCTCTGTGTGAATGTATCAAATCAAAGTTGAAATATTAAACATGCAGAACATGATAATGCCAAAAACAAATAAATAAATCCATAAATGTAATAGAAATATAGATGAGAGTTAAACTTTATTTATTTACTTTATATTTAGAATAAATCCACTTAATTCAATTTGTTATCAATTTACCTTAACTTCACTTTAGCTTGATGAAGCTAAATCTGCAACCAGGTTTATAACAAGCAATATTGAACTGATAATGTCATCTCATATGTACTTCTTATTAAAACTTCTCAGTTCCCCTCTTTTACAGAACAATTAGCCACAATTTATGTCAGAAAAATGTCCATTTTTAAACTTATACTTATTTCTGTTCTTGATTTTCTTGACTTTCTAAAGAAGAAGAAATTAATGCAGGACATAAATAGGCAAGCCTCAATGTGTTGCATTTCTGGTGTCTTTTGATGTCATTAATACTTAGAAAGAACTTTTGACATACAGCCAACTATAGTCTGAAAAATATGGAGGAAATATATGAAAGATCTGTGGGCAAAAATCAATGCTTTTAATTATTCATAAAATAAATTCAATATTTTACAACAAAAAAGGTCCTTTGAGAAAATATAATTGAATCCCCTCCAGTATTGAAATTGTTACAGTGAGCAACAATATTATTAATCATGATTATATAGAAAGTGTGCACACTGAACTCAAGCTTTGAATAACACTTTTGAAGTCATGGTCTGCTCAGTATTCCAACAGTCTTCTCAACACAGCTTCCTATGGTTTTCTAATATGTTCAGAAGCTTAATTTTAAAGAATTAAACATACTCAGCAGGAGAAATGAACCAGTTTATCTACATCTGGGAGCAACGCTGAATCCTTATTAAAGGAATAATGTTTCTGCAGTATTGCCTCTATCTTGTAAGACCTTATCAGCTATCCAGGGACTAAGTAGCTGGCATGTTGATATATTGTGTTCTTAACAGTATGAAATGCTGATTGTCCCTAACATTCTGCAGAATTCCTTTAGCACACCAATTGAGTGTCTCAATCTCCCTCTACAGATGTCCACTGGAATGATTGGTTGTATATCAGCAGACCAGTGAGATTAAAATGAAACAGCTTTGTATTACACAAATGTAGCTTAATATTTCCTGAATGCTTACACAAGTGATGTGATTGATTAGCACATCCTCTCCTTTGCTCATGTGCTTTTTGAATACATTTTCATACAGTTCATATGGAAACTCAGATATTTTAGAATCCAAGTGTCTTTAATTTGGATGTTAATAAATTTGTGATTTGCTTTAAAAAAAGGTGGATAAACATAATCCAAAATATGATAATAGATTAAGGAATAGAGAGGACGAAAACTTTACTCTCTTAAAATGTGTAATGCAGAATTTCTGTGTTACTTCCCTTGTGGCTGTGAGTTGAAGGCAAACAAAGAAGCAGCTACGGAAATATATCTTAGTAAGAATAAAGAATTTTACAATAATGAATGGAATTATGTGCTACTTCACCATTTGCACAGAAAAATCAGCAACAGGTGATTGCTGGATCAAAACAAGCAAATTACATGTTTTAACTGATTCGTGGTTAATAAAAAAAATAAAAAGTTGGAAGCTAAGCAGTATAAATTTGCATTGGTTGCTCAAACACACAGAAAGAACCTAGAACAGAAGTAAATAACATTTATGAACAGACTGACCTAACAGGCAAGATAGCATGACTGGAACTTCCTATTTTAGCCTTTCCCAAATGGGTGTCCTCCTGATATATACTGTATTTTGAAGTCAACATAGCAAGAATCAAGCTGGTTAAGCATGTGGTAGTAGAGCCTATTTGATTGGTGATTAAATATCAGGCTACAAACTCAGACATTGTGAGTTCCAAGCAAGCCTTAGATACTATGTGTCATACCTATTAGGTGGATTTACAGATAACTTGAAAATGGTACTCAAAGGATACTCACTTGTAGCTTATTTTCTCTTTAAATTATGTATTAAATGAGATTCTATAGGTGCTTGGCCTGATACTCTTCAATATTTTCATCAATGGCTTGGCTGGATCTAGCAGTAATGCTTGTAATAGTCACAGATGATACAAAACTGA